ATGTAGAAACACCACCTCCACGACACCCTGTCGGTGAAGGCGCCACCGAGCAACGGGCCGATGGCGCCGGCAACGGCGTAGACCATGCCGAGGACGCCCATCATCATGGGCCGCTTGGCGGGCCGGACGGTCAGCGACACAATGCTGTAGCCGCCCACGGCGAGGGCGCCGCCGCCCAGGCCGGCGATGGCGCGGCCGACGACCAGGGTCTTAGAGTTCGGGGCCACGCCGCAAAGCAGGCTGCCGACCTCGAAGACGACCATCGAGGCCAGGAAGGTCCGCTTGATGTCGTAGGACTTGTACAGCTTGACGCCGGAAGACTGGGCGGCGCCGTAGGTCATGAAAGTAGGCGGCTGCGTACCACGACACGTCGCTGAGGCCCTTGAACTCGTCCGTGATCCTTGGGATGGCCGTACCGACGATGGTCTGGGTTAGGGTTAGTGTTCGTGCCGCGACTGGAAGGGGGGGGGGGGGGGGGGGACGTGCCTGGTCTAGTGCAATCAGGAAGATGACGATCAAGGCGGCGCTGGACAGGAGCACCATCTTCAGACCAGACGGGTACTGGTCGTCGTCTGTGGCCTGCGAGGGCTCGTCATTGGCCTTGACTCTGGCATCGGCAACGTCCGTACTGGAGGCTTGGGTTGAGTCCGTATCCACGTTCGCCGGCGTGGGCTTCTTCTCCTGCGAGTCCATCGTGACGTAAGCTCAAAGCTGTGATCTGGGCCTCAAAAAAGAGCTGGCGAGGGAGAAGGGCCGATAGGTTGTAAATACGGGGGCGAGAGAAGCGCCTGTCAGCTCTAGATATGGCTAGATATGGCCATGATGGGTGCCGGGGCAGCTTCTGTTTGTCCATTTTATGATAACATGACGACCAGTGGTCGGGATTCCGACTCGGAAATTCATTGAATGATATATCAGCCAGCCAGTGTCTCGGCTGAATCACCGTCCGTCACTCGGCAGCGATCGTCCTACCGCCAGAAACAAACGCCCATAGCAAAGATCAGTGGGAGCCGAGCAGGCAGGAAGTGGTGGATTTCTTCCACCGAGTTTGGCGCACAAAGGAATCCAGACGTGCTGGGAGAATCGGATTTTGATGCGGTGCAACTTCAGGCCTTCGTCGGGAGATTATTATGCCGAGCGACCATCTCGCCAGGGTCTGGACATCCGGCCATGTTCGGGATGACCATTATGCCGACAGGTCAGATCTTGGCTCAACATGCCAGAGCCGCAACCCACCCACCATCGGGCTGCTGCCGCCCTCGGGTTGCCGCCGCCCTGCAGCCGCCCTGCAAGCCACTTGGGGGCGCCTTTCGTCGCCTGCTCTCGTTTGTTCGAAGGACTTTCTCGACGCGTCGGCAGCCCCGGTCAACGGCTCTTGAGGAGAGCCCCCCAAAAGTTGGTCGGCGCTGGAAAGTGTGGTGAGCGGCGTTCTTGGAGAGCGAGTCCGCGGCGGTTAACACGAGCTCCGTCGGTGTTGGGGCTTGGGCAACAATAAGACAATAGGAGACTATAGCTCACCTGGCCATTGGGTGCAGTCATGAATTGAAGTTCTATTGGCCACAGATGCAATGCTCGAATGATGTCTGACCCACAATTGTTGGTGCAGTGAATGTCAAGAGATTGTTGTAATCGATTCTGAATCGATCCGGACCGGCCGGAGTGTGCTGCCGATACGAGGCCTCTCCTCTCTATGGAGGCAAAGGTCCGTCCGCCTGGCTGCCAACCAACAACACTACACTTTCTTTCCGCGTAACGTATATATACCTACCCCTTACCTCCAGGTCCCCGGTCAGAGTGGCACAGCCCCCCACACGGCGTTCGCTCTATGCCTGCCTGCCTGCCCGCCTACCGCTTCGTTCCGGCACCTCCAAGCTTCCCGCTCAATCCTCCCGCTCCCATCCCTGTCAACCGGTGTGGAGCGAGGGTTCTGGCGGTGATGGTCATTGATAGGTGTTTAGGTTGAGCTTGTGTGGCCTACATGTACATTGTCGTACGGCGCTGACTCCCTGGATAAGCTAAATGCTGACGGCGCCCGCCCAGGGACGATGAAGCACCTCCCTTACTAATCTACTAGCCTAGTGGCCGCTCTGCAAACCCCTAGCTAGCTCCGATCACAGAGCGCCCTTCGCGTTAGCCGAAAGTCTCCCGCCTGCGCTGACATGGTTGGGGGCATAAGTTTCGATACCCTCCGAGGTACCGAGTACCCCTACCTGTGGGGGGACGCTTAGACGGTACAAGGAGTAACGTTCCTTTGGTTGCACAAAATTATACCACCTTGATAAGGCTGGTCTACGAGCTAATGAGATATAGATAATAGACTAGGGCAAATAATAGGGAAATCATTAGATAATAGACCCCCTACTTTAAGTTACTTATAATAGAGCTACTTGAGTTTATTTATAATTATTATATTTACTAAAGATAAAGAGATAATATTGAATAAGTTTAAGATAAAGTTAATAGGACTAAGAATAGCTTAATATTTTAAATAAAGCTTCTCTTTACTTAAGGGAAAGCTCTATACTTTATATTAAAAGGTCTCTAGTAAAAACCTTAACTTAAAACTAATTATTTAGAATATAAAACTTGTAAATAAAAAGTAAATACTTATAGAAATATATACTTAACTTACTAAATAATAATTTCAATTTATTTAGAGTTATAATCATAATAGTAAAATATTATCGACTATTAAGATAATATCTTATTAACTTGAAACTATAAGTATATTAGTTTTTCTATATTAAATAAGTTTTTATATTTAAATAATAACTTAATAGATTAATAAAGAGTATTTAAATAAAAGCTAAAATCTCTCTATATATATAAGATAGATATAATAAATTAATAGAATTAATTATATAGGGCTTAATAAAATTAAGTAACTTAAAAGTATAAGAGATAATAATAATTATATACTTGCTATAGCTAATCTTAGTAGTAGAGCTAAATTTATAGCTTTACCCTTATCTAGTATACCTTTACCCCTACTAGGCAGAGCAAATATCTAACCATGGCCTAGCAAATAGTCGTCCTCTCCTTCGGACAAGCGAACGCCTTGGCTCTTGGCCTTGAGCACGCCACGCTTGGCACATGATCAAGCTATCTGTCCTTTACTGTCCTTCCAAGTATCAGGTTGCTGATTTAAACCTTGTATTCCTGCCTTGTCGCATGAACAGCCTCCCGGTCTCCCCCGTCAGACGTACGATCCGTGGTTCTCTTGTAATTCGCCAACATCCCTGCTAGCCCCCCCACATCGCTTCATTATACTGTCTTCGGCTTGCCCAGTATGCAAGACTTACAGGATCTTGGGGGGCAGCTTGGGGTCGTGGGGTGCTGGGACTATACGCAAGAGTACCTCGTCACTGACGATGCGCCGGTTTCGCTTCAGGCTGAATCCTTTCATGGCGGATAGGGCTCCCCGAGGTCACCATTGGGCTGTGCCGCGTCAAAGCCTGGACTCAGCTCAGATTCTTTCTTCAACGTTCTCTCAAGAACAAACAAAGACAACACACATGTCAGCTGATCGGTCGTTGGCCAGTGAAAGGCCAGAAGGGAGGCCTTGGCAGTCGGTGCGGGAACAAGGTATTTATTGGTTGCCTGCCTGCCGTTCATACATTCCTTTTTGTTTCTTTAACATCCCATCCGTAGTTCCACCTGCGTCTCCGAGCGCTCGGTGTTGTTTGAGAAGTCAGGTGTATTTATCCGATCCGCAATGTCCCACCGCCATTCATGCGAGCGCTGTCGGCAGCAGAAGGTCCGCTGTCTTCGAGATTCGCAGATTGTGCAGAAGCCGTCACCTGGCCAGTCCATACCCAAGTGTTCGAGATGCGCAAAGGCAGGCACCGCCTGCGTCTATAGCTGTACGGCCGACTACATTTCATAAGTCAATGTTCCCTCCCTCCCAGCACCTCAACTACCTACCTGACCTGCCCTGCCCTGCTGTCACTCACAAGGCTAACATGTTTTTTACAGTGAGGCTGAGTACGCGACGTCCCGGGTCGAGCACCGGCGGCAATATATCAGCCGTCAGCCAAAGCATGCCGTCTGGGGTCGAAAAGTATCCCACTCCCTTTGATTCGGTGGAGGAAGACGACAGTTCCTTCCAGCTCGACTTCGACGGCTTCAGCTGGTGCCAGCTCAACACGGCCCCTACCGCGCAATTGGACATGAGACGCCAGCCGCGGAGCGCCATGAACCACGTCGGCCTTGACCTGGACATGAACCACGGCACCGTGGCCGAAAGGACTGGGGCTCCGGGAGACGGGCAGTGGTACGGCGGCGCCCCTTCGCCACCGTCGTTGTCGCCCAAGCCCGAAGCCGGCGACGAGGACATGCCCGCCGCCGACTCTTGGCAAGCGCTCACGTCGCAGGTCACGGCCGTCAGCGCCCAGGCCGCCTCGGCCACGCGCCTCCTACTCCGCCCCGGCAGCGCCCCGCCGACCGTGTCGTCGGCGCACGTCAACGAGGCGTTCGAAGGCACCAAGACGTTGGTGCGCATCATGAACAGCATCGCGGCCATGGCCTCGCCCGATGACAGCGGGGACGACGAGCCGTCGGCGGCACGCGGCGACAGCGGCAGCAGGGCCGCCGACACCGGAGGGCTGGTCCTGACGACGCTCGCCTGTCACCAGCACCTCCTGGCCTTCTTCAGGGCCATATGCGACTCCATAAAGTGGTGCGTCGAGTCGGTGGCGGACGAGAAACGTCCCCCGGGCGGCGGCTCCTCTCTCCACAGCGACGGGGCCCCGTCCACCGCGCAGTTCACCATGGTCCTGCAGCTGCTGATGCACCTGATCAACCGCCTGGACCGTTGTCTCTTCCCGGGCAGGCCGCCGAGCCCGGTATCGTCGGCGTCGACCAGTGCGTACGGCGGGGCCGGCGGCGATGGCGGCCTCGACCTGGTCCTCACCGGGCAGGAGGCGGAGGACGTTACGCCCGACACGACGGGCATTCCAGGCCTGGCGCATGCGCTCGTGCGAGCAATACCAGACGATCATCTCAGGCTGCGGCGGACCATCCTTCAGCTGCAGGCTCGGATGGAGAGGCTGGAGGCGTTTTAGTGTCAGCCCGCCCGGAATATGGTGGTGCAACTAGGGGAACAATCACTGGGAATAGAGTATTGGTTTTGGTCTGGAGTTGGGGGTCTTTGCTGAGTTTTCCAGTTCGGTCAACCCGTTTGTTGTCTCATAGACATACACTAAACAGTGACATGAAGTAAAATATAAACTACACTCCGACGTAAACGAAACCGAGTCATAGAAGAAACAGGTATGAACTAATGTTGGAGCGATGTTTAGAATGGAGTGAAGAGGTCTTTTGCACATAGTCTGCAGGTGATAGAATGTAGGTAGGGGGTCGGAATATATTCAAGCTTTGGCCCTCTGTAGCGTGAAGGGCCTTCCGTAGCCCTTCTTGTAGCCTTTAGCCCCTGACCGACCTCCTGCTTGGCGGCTCCTCAGGGTCGCCTGACAGCTAAGCCCGGCAATACAGTGAAGAGGTTGAACATGCGGCTGAGGTAAAGACTGCAGAGAGGTCAGTTCAGGGCATACGATGGTGAATTCTAGTCGCAGCTTACGCACCTCGTGGGGAGTGATTCTCATAAAGGCCAGACTCAGATGCAGAATGGGGTGTTGGACCAGGTAACACTGTAGGGAAGTAAGACCAAAGCGAACAACATCGCAGCTCTTGTTGATATTGATGCTACCATCTATACGTATGCAATCTACCAATCCTCCAGACCCGAAATGGAAGGCTTGCCGTTCTCGGCCCTAGAACTTCAACGCATCCTTCAGGAACTCCAGCTGCTTGTTCAGGACGGAGTCGACGTCGCCAAAGGCCCAGTCAAGGTGGCCCTTGCCGTGGAGCAAGTGGAAGGTCTTGGGCTCCCCCATCCTGGCGAAGGCGGCCATCTGCTCCTCGGCGGGGCACTCGATGTCGTTCTCGGGCGTCACCATCATGGCGGGCGTCGGGCTGACGTAGCCGATGAGCGTCATGATGTCCCACGAGTACGAGTTGTAGTACGTCTGCACCGTCACCCGGTTCTCCACGGGGATCTTGAGGCGCTCTAGCGTGGGCATGAAGTCCGGGCCCAGTTTCGGTCCTAGTGGGACACTGCCGTCTTCGTTCACGTACGGCAGGTAGATTGGCTCTGCGCGGGAGGTAGCTAAGATCAGCTGATGGCATCTCAGGGGGTGGGGGGTGTGTTTTTGGCGTTGCGGGGAACCGGTATTACGTACCCTGCCCGGTAAGGCGGCCGGCGCGTCCTGCATGGCCAGCTCCAGCACGGCCCGTCGCCGCTCAGGGAATCCGTGGAGGTCGATTACGGGCGCCACGGCAACGACGGCGTGGACGCGCGGGCTGCGGAAGGTCTCGGTAAGCAGGGAGCTGAGCCGTAACATAGACTGGGGAGGGCACGCACTCCAGAGCTGTCGCCGCGAGGGACATGTTCCCATCGAAACAGAGACCCCAGAGCGCAATCTTCTCGGGGTCTACCAGCTCGTGGCCGGAAAGGTAGGTCACGGCGTCGTGGAGGTCCTCGACGCGCTTGCGAGGGTTCATCTGGCAGGGGAGGAGAGACAGGTCAGACATGTCTACAAGTCATGACACACAAGCGCGGTCCAGAGGGTTGTAATGGCGTGCTTGACTCTCACCTCATGTCTGGGCTCGCCATCGCTCAAGCCAATGGTCCGGGTGTCGTATACGAGCGCCGTGATGTCGTGCTTCTGATACCACTGGGCGATGTCGGGCACGAAGGCCTCTTTGGGCATGTTAAACTAACACGGCCGAGTTTTAGCGCCAGCTCCTTTTCTTTCCCCCCGTCTCTGGTTGGGTCCCATACGCCTGGAGAAACAATGATGCCCGGCCCACGCTTCGAGGCCGGGTAGAGCCAGCCACGCAGGGTCAGGCCATCAAGGGTTGGGAAGCTGACGTCGAGGCGGGACATGGCGGCGGATTCAGGCACGCAAAAGGGGCTGCTGGTGTGGTGGGGTTTGAAAGTACCGTCTTTGCTATGACTACAAGCCAAAACAAGAGGTATTTAACATCCAGGCTTCATGCTTACGGAACGCTGAGATGGCGACACGAAACAAACCTTTCCTCGCCATCCATCCTCGGAACATCGCTATCGGCCAGGTCTGGGCTGCGGGCCTCCGATGGGGCACGGGTTGTGTTCACAGCCGAGGCCGTCCCGGGGGCCGTCTGACGAGGGGCACCCGGACATCGGAAAGGTCGGGGATGTCGGATAAGCCGGCATCTCGGGTGCCAATTCCTCCCCGGCTTACACTACAACTCCTTACAAGGTGTGTTGCTTTGGCTGACGGAAAGGGACTCTCCCAGCTGAGGCCGGTCACTCGCGGCATTCTCATCTGCATCCGAATCATTCGCATCATTTTGCCTGGCTGTTCCATTGAGAGTTCTAGATAAAGGAAGCCTCTTATAGCCTTATATTAGTCACTTATTATAAGGCTGCGACTATACATATCTATTATAAGTATAAAGTATAGTTCTATTAGCTAAAATTGATTAATTAACTAATTAAATTACTCTACTATAAAAGCTTAATTAGCTATATTATAAGAATAAATTTATTTAAGTTAATAAGCTTAGAATAATAGATTATTTTAACTATAAGATTAGAAGGAAAGTGAGCTAATTAATAAAAAGTATAGAGAAAGAATATAGTTTTTAAATTTCTGAACTATATATAAATAGTTATAGTAAAGCTTTGAGATATATTTCTTTTAAATAAGAATAAATATAATTTTATTAAATTATATAATTTATTATTAATATTGTTATTTTAAGGGTTATATTAAACTAATAGTAGAGGATACCTAACGGTAGTAATTACTAATATAGTAATTGCTATAGGATTACTATAGCTAGGATTCATATCTCCTACGAGTATATAGATTATAGCTTACGTAGTTAGTAAATTAGATAGGTATATCTAACTTATATAGATAGTAGTAACTTAGAGATAGAATAAACTATTAACTATATTATAACCCTTCTATTATATACCCTACCTATTTAGAGCTTATAAATATAGCTAAAGTACTAGATTAGGGCTTATATAAATAGTAAAGCCCTCTTAATATATTTATTAAGAGGGCTTCACTCCTTATATATATCCTAATCTAGTCCTTCTACTATGCTTACGAGCTATAGATAGGCAGGGTATATAATATAAGGCTTATAATAGTTAATTCTTAATTATTTAATACTATCTCTAAATTACCGCTACCTATATAGGTTAGATATACTAATCTACTTCACCGATTACGTAAGCTATAGTTTATATACTCCTAAGAGCTATAGATCCTAGATATAATTACCTTAATTATAGGATTCCCTAATATTAGTTTAATATTAGCTCTTCTTTTCTTTATAGATAGAATAGCTATTAGAACTAGTATAAAGAGCTATCGCTAGGGTTAATAGCTACTCTAATACGCTTATAATTCTCTAGTCTCTAGCATATTAGATCTACTCTTCTAGCTTTAAAGTAAATAACTTAATAATAGGAAATAATAGGAAATAATAGTAAGAAATAAGGAAAACGTATCTTAAACCTATTATTCCTAAAAGTATTAGGCCTCTAATTTTTAGCGCCTTAAAATAATAGAATTACCTATAAATAGCTCTTTAAGGAAACAAATTAAATTATAATTTTCCTAAACTAATATTAAGCAATCCTATAGTTAGGATAGTAATAAATAGAATATCTAGGATCTATAGGTCTTAGGAGTATATAAGCTATAACTTATATAATTAGTTAAATAGATAGGTATATCTAACCTATATAAGTAATAGTAATTTAGAGATAGTATTAGAGAATAAAGAATTAACTATCATAAGCCTTATATTAGATACCCTACCTATTCAGAGCTCGCAAGTATAGCGGAAGTACTAGACGAGGGTTTATATAAGCAGTAAAGCCCTCTTAATATAATAAGAACTTTCTTTTATTAATTAATATTTCAATATCTAAGAATTTTATAAATTAATTAAATAAAGTATATCAAATCTCTTTAATAAACTAATCAATTAAGTAAACCCTTAGAATTAATATAGTTATTTAGTTCATAGCGCTATGTATCGTTTCTCAGCATGAGAATGCTTGCTATTCCAGGGCTGCTTGATGGACCACCTCGGAGCCTACAACGAGCTGCGTGAACAATTCATGTGCAAGGTAGAGCGGGAGCCCCAAGGCTGGACTGGACGCAATTCGGTGATTGGAATCCTCATGGCGAGCGGAATATCACATGTTGAAGAGCTAGCCATACTATCTGCATCTTTCCTGCCCCGCTCGCCCCTCGACACGCTACGCCGCAACCTCGAGCGGGACGACGAGCTTCTTGCCCCTGATGATGCCGGCGCGCAGGTCCTGCAGGCCGGGACCGACGCTCTCCAGGCCCGGGTGGCGGATCTCCAGGGGATGGTTCCAGATGTCGCCGTCGCGCAGCCAGCGCTCGGCGAGCCTGAAGAGGCGGCCGGCGAACAGGCGGTGCTCGGGGGCGGCGGGGCGGCCGTAGACGCCGTCGAGGGTGCAGGGATCGCCCAGCAGCGTGTTGGCCATGACCCAGTCGGCGCGGACGTCGCGGCGCGTGTACTTGACCGTGTTGGTTGTGGGCTCGAGGGCGACGTAGGCGCCGCCCGTGGGGCGCCGATGGCCTCGTAGCACATGGCCATGGTGGCGGCGTCGGTGACGCAGTCGAGCACGTGGGCCAGCGTGTTGTCGGTGTGCAGCCGGATGTCGGCGCCACAGGTGGGCGAGTGGTAGTCGAAGCAGGCCGAGGCGCCGAAGGACTCGCACAGGGCGTTGTTGGCGGGCGAGCAGGTGACGATGGGGTTGAATCCGGCGCTGGGCAAGACGTCAGCATGTGGTCTGCATTTCGGCTGGGAGGTGACTCTGCATTTCCGGGAGGGAGTGGAGAGGGGGCGCACAGTTTCAGGAGCCGCGTGGCCATGGTGCCAGAGGCCGAAGCGCCTCCGGCGACCAGCACGGTGGCAGCCGGCACGGCCGCAGCCGGCACGGCCGCAGCCGGCACGGCTTCATCCTGGTGGCCGTTGACCTGGCCAAGGTCCGGGCCTCGGAGCAGCGGCAGGTTGAGGCCGGGCTCCTGGAACAGCGCCAGGCCGGCGATGCCGACGGCCAAGCCCAGCGAGCAGGCCTGGGTGTAGGGCATGGCGTCGGGCACGTGGCAGCTCAGGTCCTCGACGGCCAGGGCGTACTCGGCGAAGCCGCCGTGGGTGTTGATGGTGAGGACGCGGTCGCCGGGCCGGAAGCGCGTGACGGCGGGGCCGACGGCGACGACGACGCCGGCAAAGTCGCAGCCGCCGACGTAGGCGCCGGGCGCGCCGACACGGTACTCGACGATCTTGGCGTCGTAGGGGTTCAGCGACACGGCGTGCACGCGCACCAGCATGGTGCCCGGCTGCGGCGCCGGCTGCGGGACGTCGCTGGCGAGGCGGTAGCCGCCCGACGGGCTGCTGACCATGGCTCTCATGGTATCGGTATGCTGTTTGGGATAGGGCGGAAGACTTGAGATATGGCGGAAGACTTGTCGAGTTGAAGTGCTTGGGATGCGTGACGGGAAAAACGACAGCGCCCATGAGCTGAACCTCATGTCAGGTTCCAGCATTGGTCTAGGACAGCATCCGGGTTGGTGATGCAGTATAAGGATATTGGCCTCTGCTCGGATCCGCTTGGGCTTGGGCGTTGGTCCAGGTCGGTGATCGGACGCTGGCGTCTGCGATCCTTGCGATGTCACTCGGAGCCAGTCGGAGGGACGCCGAGGTGGTAAGCGGTAAGCTGGAGGTGAGCCGGGGTGGAGGGGTCAGCCGGAGGGTCAGCCGAGGGTCAGCCGAGGGTCAGCCGGAGGGTCAGCCGGAGGGTCAGCCGGAGGGGCTAGCCGGAGGGGTCAGCCGGGGTGGAGGGTCAGCCGGAGGTGGAAGCTCGGAGGTAGTAAGCGGTAAGGCCGAGAGGTCCGGAGATGGAAAGCCGGAGAGGTAAGCGGAGAGGTAAGCGGAGAGGTAAGCGGAGAGGTAAGCCGGAGAGTCGGAGAGGTAAGCCGGAGAGCCGGAGAGCCGGAGGCGTCGATGCCTCCTGTGGATTCCATCTTGATAGGAGAAAAAAAAAAGAGAAAAAAAAGAGAAAAAAAAAGAGAAAAAAGACACAAAATCCCATGCATAATCTTTCAATTAACAAGCACTCTCAGGAGGGACTACACAAAGACCGTCAACATACGTATCGTCCGCCTGCAGCTAACTAGTCGACACTGCACAAAGACACTGAGAAAGACAGTCAACATATTGTTCCGCCTGCAGCAAATAGACACTGCACAGACAGTCAACATATCGTCCGCCTGCAGCTAAATAGACACTGACAGACAGTCAACAGCAAGGTATCACCGCAGCTCATAGACACGCACAGACAGTCAACAGAAGGTATCTCCGCAGCTCCTACACTTCTCGAGCCTAAGATGGGCAGCCAAAGTTACGAACCGACCTACGCCGGGGAGCCCATCGCCATCGTCGGCAGCAGCTGCCGGTTCCCGGGCGATGCGTCGTCGCCGGCCAAGCTCTGGGAGCTGCTCCAGACGCCGCGCGACGTCGTGTCGGAGGTGCCGGCCAGCCGGTTCAACACGACGGGCCTGTACCACGCCGACAGCCAGCACCACGGGGTGAGCCGAGGCCGCGCGACCCTGATCTGACGGGCAAGACGCTGACGACGCAGAGCACCAACGTGCGGCACGCGTACCTCCTGGGCGAGGACCCGCGCGTCTTCGACCGCGACTTCTTCGGCATCAGCCCCAAGGAGGCCGAGTCGATGGACCCGCAGCAGCGCATGCTGCTCGAGACGGTGTACGAGGGCATCGAGTCGGCGGGCTACTCGGTGCAGCAGCTGCGGGGGTCGTCGACGGCCGTCTTTGTCGGCGTCATGTTCCTCGACTACCAGGCCGTGTCGGTGCGCGGGCTCGAGAGCCTGCCGCAGTACCACGCCACGGGCGTGGCCATGTCCATCCTGGCGAACCGGCTGTCGTACTTTTACGACTGGCGCGGGCCGTCGGTGGCCGTCGACACGGCGTGCTCGTCGAGCCTCGTGGCCCTGCACCAGGCCGTGCAGACGCTGCGCGCCGGCGACGCCGACATGGCCGTCGCCGCCGGGTCGAACCTGATCCTGGGGGCCGAGCCGTTTGTGTCCGAGTCGAGTGTACGTCTGTCTGTCTCGTGTCTCGTCTGTCTCTGTCTCGTCTCTTGTCTGTCTCTGTCTCTGTCTCGTCTCTGTCTCGTCTCTTGTCTCTATCTCGTCTGTCTCGTCTGTCTCGTCTGTCTCGTCCGGTATCTGATCCATCTACCGCAGCTCAACATGCTGTCGCCCCACGGCCGCTCCTACATGTGGGACGAGGCCGCCGACGGCTACACGCGCGGCGAGGGCTTCTCGGCCGTCATCCTCAAGACGCTGCGCCGCGCCCTCGCCGACGGCGACCACATTGAGTGCGTCATCCGCGAGACGGGCGTCAACCAGGACGGCCGCACCCCAGGTTCGTCTCCTCCTCATGTCCTGACGGCAGTCGGCCGTCAGCCGTCTGCCAGCACGCTGACCGCGCAGGCATCACCATGCCGAGCGCCACGGCCCAGGCGGCGCTCATCCGGGCCACGTATGCGCGGGCCGGCCTCGACCCGCGGCGCGCGCGCGACCGGCCGCAGTACTTTGAAGCCCACGGCACCGGCACGCAGGCGGGCGACCGTGAGTGCTCCCTGGCCTCCTGGCCGGCCTCCTGACAGGTCGACAAGGCGACAAGGCCTGACAGGTCGACAAGGCCAGAAGCGAGAAGCTGACCGTGCACAGCCAGAGAGGCCGAGGCCATCGCGAGCGTCTTCTTCCCCCCCGGAGGCCACGACGGCGAGCTCGTCGTCGGCTCCATCAAGACCATCATCGGCCACCTCGAGGGCAGCGCAGGCCTCGCCGGCGTGCTCAAGGCGTCGCTGGCCCTCCAGAACGCCCAGATCCCGGCCAACCTGCACTTCAAGACGCTGAACCCCAAGATCCGCCCCTTCTACGCCCACCTGCGCGTGCCCACCGAGACGCAGCCCTGGCCGGCGCTCCCAGACGGGGGCCCGCGCCGCGCCAGCGTCAACAGCTTTGGCTTTGGCGGCACCAACGCGCACGCCATTCTCGAGAGCTGGCACGACCACGAGACGGCTGACGCGGCCCCCGGCGCGGCCCCCGGCGGCCGCCTCTTCGTGTTATCAGCCAACTCGGCGCAGTCTCTGGCCGCCCGCGCCGCCCACCTCGGCCGCTACCTCGAGGCGCCCCCCGGAGACGGAAAATCGACCGCCTCGCGCGTATCTCTGTT